GGCTGCTGCTGCTGCTGCTGCTGCGGCTGCTGCTGCTGCTGCTGCAGTCGCTGCTGAGCGCGCGGGCCAGTGTGAAGAGTGTAGAGACCGGAGCCCGGCTCAGCAGCAAAAGTGGCGAGGGGCTGGTAAGAGTCCCCGTCAACACACACCGCAGTCTCTCCAGAAGGCTCAAACCACACACCCACGTGCTGAATCACGAGGGGTCGCACGCCGTTCCGGGAGAACGAGGGGACGTGAAACCCAGTGAGAGACCCAGAAGGAGCAGCCGGACACGGCAAGGTGGTAGTGTGACGCGCAGTGACTGGTCCCGAAGTGGGATCAGCCAGCGCCACAGAAACAGGCGCAGGAAGAGGCGTAAGTGTCGTGCTGTCACGAAAGAAGCAGTGAGAGGCTCCAGAGTCCAGCGTGAACGACAGCGAACCGTCCTCTGAGGTAGCCGCTGGACTAGAGTCTACACAAGAACCTACACTAGCAACAGGCAACTGAGCAAGGCTAGCACCTAAGCTAACAACACCAGAGTAAGCAGAGTCAGAAACACTAGAGTCAACAATAGCATACATAGCATGGGGAGTACCAATCAGATCAACTAACTGCTCAGCAGACATGCCCCAGAGAGCGGAGCCGTAGCGCTGAACAAGAGGCAGCCAGTCAGGGGCAGGAGCACCAACCCCGTAGACCAAACGAACCGTGTCAGTGAGCTGAGCAAAGCACTGACCAGGGGGGTGAAACCGGCCACAAGGGTGGCCACGACGAGTGCCTGTCAGAACCTGGTAGGTGCAGGGAGTGTAAGCAGCACCGCGCTGGGTCTGACGCAGCCCCGACCCTGGAGCCAGCTGCGGCCGCTGCTGCTGCGGAGGCTGCTGGGAGGAGAGGGGCTGCTGGTGCTGCAGAAGCTGCTGCTGACGCTGAGCCTGGTACCACGCCGCTGCTCCACCAACCGGGGCAGGAAGTACAGGAGGCGACTGACGAACTCGGGCGTCGCCACCACTAGCAGGCGCAGTGGAGTCACCAGTCACTGCACGAGGCGCCTCTCCAGGCCCTGAACCTCCACCGCCGCCAGGCGCAACGCCACCTCCACTACCTCCGCCTCCACCTCCACTACCACCACCAGAACCGCCTTTCTTGCCACTCCTACCGCGGGACCGCGACGCAGTCGTAACAGCAGCTGCAGTCGCGTCAGTAGCGGCAGTGGCAAGTGAGGCAGTAAAGGTGGGTAACTGCGGGACTGTGCACCCGTGGAAGAGTGGGGGGGGCACAGCACCAGAGGCAGCGGCTACCGAGCGAAGGTTGCTCTCGACGTCCTTGAGTGCAGACTCAAGGACATCGACGGTGAGCTCACTAGGGTGCTTCAGCAGAAGCGCGTCGCGAACGGAGGCAAGGCGGTCAGGGAGGCTAGTGGCGATGAAATAGATAGTAATCGCCATAGGGGGAGGAAGCAGTGCAAGCTGTGCCTCAGTGCAAGCAGCGCGGTAACTAGCGTCGAGCGAGCGGAGGTGAGCGATCAAGTCAGCAGAGCGCTCAAACGAGGCGAGATCAGGAAACAGGAACGGGAGGAAAAGACGGCCAAGAGAGACAGTAGCGGGAGTAGAGTAGCGGGCCTTAATCGCAGTGAGGTACGCAGCAGCGGTGCGAACCTGAGTGAAGTGGACCTCCTCTGACTCAGGGAGGAGGCTGCTGAGTGCGATGCAGGCCGCAGCGTCACGCGACGTCCAAGCCGTCCTGTCAGCGCGCTGACGGGCAAAGCGAGCCGTAGCAGCATCGTCAGGGGCAGGACCTAAAGCGGCAGGCTCGGGGGGCTCGGGGAGGTCACCAGTAGCGTGCGACCAGAGGGTCTCGCCCCCCTGGACTTGACTCTCTAACAGACGGCGAGCGCGAAGAAGCCAGACGGAGAAGTCAAGAGGTCTACCGTCAGCGTCGAAACGAAGAACTCGCGGAGTCGCCATAGCGAGAACGAACGCGAACGAGCAGGCGAGTAACAGCAGGAGGTAAGAGGCAAATTAGGGTTCAGGTGGGGGGACTTAGTCGCAGCGGAAGAACGGGCTAGGGCGACGGGCCAGGGCGTAGGGTCGACGGGACGGGGGAAAGGGCGGGCGCGATGCGACGGGGCAGGGCGACGCGACGGGGCAGGGCGACGGGACGGGGAAGGGCGACGGGACGGGGCAGGGCGACGGGACGGGGCAGGGCGACGCGACGGGGCAGGGCGACGGGACGGGGAAGGGCGACGCGACGGGGCAGGGCGACGGGACGGGGCAGGGCGACGCGACGGGGCAGGGCGACGGGACGGGGAAGGGCGACGCGACGGGGCAGGGCGACGCGACGGAGCAGAGGCGACGGGACGGGGAAGGGCGACGGGACGGGGGGAAAGGGCGCGACGCGACGGGGGGAAAGGGCGCGACGCGACGGGGGGAAAGAGCGCGACGCGACGGGGGGAAAAGGGCGCGACTCGACTGGGGGGAAAGGGCGCGACGCGACGGGGGGAAAGGGACGCGACGAGGGGGAAAGGGCGGGCAGGACGCGACGCTAGGAGTGGCGCTAGGCGCGGCACTACGCGCGGTAACAACGAAACCGGGACGAATGAGAGCTAGGATCAGGCTCGGGAGGCTCGAACGGAGAACGGAGGAACGGGATCCCACAGGATCCTAACCTAACTGATACCATGTCAGAATGAAGAATGGATGGTGCATTGATGTTGGTTGGGGTACATATAGCTAACCCTAAGTTTTGTACCCCCTAAGACAAACCTCACTATAGGCTACAACATTTGACAATGTCTGCCTAAGGATACGCAGCTGATCGTTCCTGAAAATGATGTTTAAGCATCCTACAAGCCTACTTAGTTCAAACACCCCCGCAAATCATGGTTGAAGTTAACTGCTATGAAAAAGCACACTAGACCGATTGCATGTTTGGGGGATAAATTGCTGGCTTGCATGGTGTTTAAAATTTGTGCTGTATTAATAGCTGATATGCCATGATAGCTTTTTGGTACTAGACCTACATTGCGTTGGACTGCGAAGGGTATCGCTCCAGAAGATATTTTGTTGTGCCAGGCTGTACTTGCATCAGCCCTGACAGCATGTACAGTACAGTACATCCCTCCTGCTTGGTTGTTGCCATGTCCACAGATTTCCTCCACGAGAGCAGCTGTGCAACTGACCAGAAAGCTGACAAGACAAGCAGCGACTACAGTTAGCATCAAAATCCCACACTAGGAATTGACGGATTAACACCGAAAGTGATGGATCCGGAGGCCGAGGTGGTCCAATCTCATGTTAGCATCGGATTCCTATAGTTAGCTACAGTAACTTCGGATCTCCCTGCGACGTTGTTTTGTTCCGTTCTTGGTCAGATTGAAATTGTGTTCAACTCGAAATACATTATTCGTGCGTGTTTATATGATCTCTGCCGGTGGAAATTTTCTGGTGGCAAAAACGTGCATCCAGACTAGTTTTGGAAAATCAGGGTTCGGGTTTTCTGAGTTTTGTATTGTTTGTAAGCCACCATGGGGTCACCGTTCAACAGTTCTATTCCCAGCCACTCAGCACCTCAGCTGTAGTGGCAAATTATGACGCCTTGGAGTTATTGTTCGCTTGGCTTCCCCTCGTTGCCCGAACACGAAACCACGAAGATACAGTCCTATCAAGAAAAATGTTTATTGATTTATAGGGTGGTGGTTGTGCCAAGGAGGGAGCCAAAATACTGACTAGTGGCAAAACAATATGAGAGCTTTGCGTTCAAAACTGTACACCATAAATAAGGAGAATGCTGACGTGAATGCATCCTTTACAGTACACTGTCGTTGTTCCAGCGTCAGACAGGACACCCTTTTCAACCATCCTCATTCGTTTTACGGTCTAGTGTTGGATCTCGCATCCGATGCTCTGGCCTCAATATCTCTCGCCCAATTGGGCTGATGTGGTTGCTGATGTGTGGAGATAGGGTGTACATCTGTGGCCGTCCAGGTGGACCTTTGTCTCTCCCCCAATTGGCTAACAAACCCAGTCATCCCTCTCCTCTCGCCTCTCTGCCGTTCGTCTGCGCAAGTTTTCCTAGTTTTACGGGACTGGATGGGACTCCGAAAGGGCTCCCGAAATTGGACCATCTTCTCGCCACTTCACGACCTCGCGCCGCCATCCCCCCCAACTTCCCCATCTCCCCATACCAAACCCTTGTCCCCCCTCCCCTTTCCCTGAACCTCGACATTTTTCACCACACTCACCACCTTCCCTCCCCATTCCCCGCTTCCCCCTTCCAACGCCTGGCTAGCTCCCCTCCGCCCTTGCTCATTCATCAATGCCCCAATTGGCAGCCAGCAGTCTGCTGCCCACTTCAAAAAGTCCACGCACTAAAAGGACCTCACATTTTCTTCTGGGTTCTCCACCACAAAGCGAATCTCATCTGGACTGAACAGCTCCACTGTGCTCCGCTCTTTGAAGGTAGCCGACTGGACACTTTCAAGATCAGGCTATGTCCTTGTTCTGAAACGTCTTCCACTCATTTTGCGGTGCTATACTTTCACAGCAGCCGTCCATTTTGAAGAACTTTGTATACTCATCCTCCTAGACATTGCAGCATCAAAACGACGACGAGGTATCTTGTAATCATCAACCACTTTCCACCCAATACTCTCCAACAGCGCATTAAGTGCTCCGCCCACCATCCCGCCGTCAAGACGGAAATCGGGACGTCTCAGTCTACCATACAACGAGTTCTTGGATCATTCAACGGCAGGCCGCTGCCGCCGTCCTTCACGGTGTGGGTTCCAAGTCCACACACGTATCGCCCCGTCGGCGACGCATCCTGCCGCGAGGATTCTTTAATCCGTACCGTAACCAGTGCCCCTGCTTCGGTGGGCCGTCCGCAAGCGCTATCATATTCCCCACCGGTCGAGGAATTTAATTCAGAAGAGGGCGCATTTGGTGCACCTTCCTTGAAAGTACCAGCATTCGCGTCATCCGCGTTTGCTAGCTCCGAGCGGCTCGGAGTCTCTCGCGACCATCATGTCTCCGTCGTGCGTGATCAATGACACCTCCGTCACAGCCGCTGCACATCATCACCATCTCCCTCCCCGCCATCATTCACCTCTTCATGCATCCGTCCCGGGCAGCGGAGACTTCTCAGACTCCCGTATTAACGTCCCGCAAATAGCGCTACCAGCTGCCGCTCTCTGCTCGCCGTCTCTCCACCCCGTAACTACGGAGCCGCGTCATCTGTCAACGAAAGAACCGCCGCGGCAGCCGCTGTCCACCGTGCCGGCGGCGGCGCATCGATCCGACGGCGCGACCAGCAGCGGCGGGGGTGTTTGGCGGTCGAAAAGTCACGGCGGGTGCTTCCGCAACCAGCATGTCGCTCCGTGCGACGACGACGACGACGACGATTGCGACGGCGACGGCGACAAGAAGGAGAAGCAGGGAGAGGAGGACGGGGGAGATGATGATTGGCTTGTAACCTACTCCCGCACTTCGACCTCGTACTCTCGACCTGCGCCAGTCGCGCCAGCCACCGACGCTGTTCGTACTACCAGCCTCAAGTTTTCATACCCTGTGAGGAATCCCCTCGCTTTCGGTGCCGCGGTGGCAGCAGGAGTGGCTGCAGCGTCGGCGCCCGCATCGGCGGCAACTACTACTGCAGCGGGCAATGCGGCGGAGGAGGAGGAGGAAGAGGATTTCAACGCGTGGATGCTCAGCGGCGAGGAAGCCACCGGATCAGCCGGTACAGGTCGTAACGTCACCGCCGGAAAGGGAGGCGGCGCGGCGGGTGTCGGCCAGAGCCAAGCTTGCGGACGTCGCGGCGGCACCGACGGCGGGCCTGACGGCGACGAGTCGGAATGGAGCGCGGCGCTGATGGATCCTGGCCGGAGCGATCGGCGCAGCAGCACTGGCGGCAGGAGGCGGTCGTCGCGGCTGTCGGCTGGAAGCTCGAGGCGGCGCAACGCTATGGAATACTCGGAGCTAGATGCCATTCGCGAAAGGTACGCCAGGACCGAAATAGGTCGTTAAAAACCCTGTGCCGCCCCGTCAGTGCGTTGCACGGTGCTGATGCTCCATGATGGGTTCCGGTTCAACGTCACGAGTTTCAACCAGTTCCGTTTTCCGATTTCTCTTTCCTCGATTATGTCGTTGTGGGATTAGTCGCGTTGCTCTTCCATTCCCTCTGTTGACCTATGTCCACCCTCTTCACTCTGTTCCCTTCCTCTCCGCCCTACTCACACCGTGCCCCTCAGGTTGCTCCATGCCACTCAGCTATGGGCCATCACCGTCGCTGACAGCTCAACGGACGCCGTTGATGCAGATGCTGCTGCTGCTGCTGCTGCTGCTGCTGCCTCCGCCGCTGCTGCTGCTACTACTGCTGTTGCGGTCACTCCGAGTGGAGGTGGAGCAGCAGTTGAGACACAGCAACTGGCACAAGCCACAGCAGCTTCACCTGCTGCTGGCCCTGGATATTGCTCCTCGGTAGCTACTGCAGCAACGGCAGTGGTGGCAGGGAGGTTGAGCAACGCAGGAGCTGGCAACAGCGCTGGGAAACCCCGAATTTCTGACAATCCTAACGGCTGCAGCAGCGACGCCCGCCGCCGCAGCGGTGTGTTCGCCAAGACTAAGAGTGCTGCTTCGGGTTCTCCTGTTACTGTCACGTCTCGCAGGTCCATGTCTCGTTCTTTGAGTGCAGCCGGCTTTGCTGCGGTGGCTGGGTTAGAGGCATCTGCTGCTGCAGCGATGGTCATTGCAGGTGGAGCCACGCCAGGCAAAGCAGACGGCGCGAAGACGACCTTGAAGGTTTCTTTGCCTGGTGCTAGCTCCTCAGCAGCAACGGCAGCGGCCAGAGGTCCGGATTCTTGTTGTTCGAACGGAGTTTCTGCTTCCCCAACTGGCCCAACTTTCACGTTTGGGCCTACTGGTGCAGATGACGTGTCTCCCACGTCTGCTGCTGCTTCCTCGGGCACGTCTGCTTCTGCTCATGGGCTCACATGCTCCGAAACTTCACCGCCGCACGTTGCTGAGTCACCATTCTCCCGCATTTCCACATTTCTCATGCGGCGACTCGTGTCCCCGTTCCCAATCGTAAGGTCGTCCACGTATCCCGTGCTCAGATAACATGGCTGCTTGGGTAAGGAAGTGGCACCATTCTGTTGCTGTTGCCCGAGTGTCTGGATTTCTCCCTGCTCAAATTCTTGCTTCCTCTTAGGAGCTCTTCCAGGATTTATTAAATCTCTGACTGGTCAAGTGCTTGCTTCACGTCCAGTCCATTCTTTCAGCATGTATCACTGCAATTGTACTCTAATATGTATGGAATCACCAGATTCTTGTTAATGTTTGAGGAGTCAGTGGTGCTGTACAGATCATCAAACTAAAGAATGTTGTCCTGACTATTTTCTGTATGTAAGCCAAACGCACGTAATTATTCAAAGAATTATGAGCTACAATGAACTGACAGTCGGTTCTTTTTCCCTTGCTAGCATGGTCTCAGCATTCAAGAGGTGTACCTTAAGTACACACTCGTGTTACCGAGACTGCTCTTTCAGCGTAAGTGTTCACCCACCAGCAGGCATTTCAAATGTGGCCTAGCGTATAGCTGTCCCGAGGCGCCCTAGCCTGAACACTTCAGGCACAGCGAGAGTTATTGGATGCCACGTCACTGCTACTAAGCCATTGCCATGCATGGCCGAAGCAACTGCTTCTTGCTGCGTCGAGACCTGCTGCTTCGTGGCATCGCAACGCAGCTCGATTGTATCGCCACACTATTCAGCCTCCACTCCAGCTTTCAGCCCTCGGAATCAAACGAAGCAAACGTCATGGCTGCACGAGGGAGTTACAGAAGAGGGCTCAAAACACGGAAATCTGATATTTCATCAGCCGGCGAGATTCGTAGCGGCGAACGGCAGGATATTTGTCGCGGCGACAGATTCTCGGTTTCGCCGACATCGTTGCTTCAGCGATCAGTAGGCTTAGTAGGAGCGGGGGAATGGCGGCAGCAGGAGCGATAGCGGGAGCCGTGGTGGCCGCTGTGATCGTGTCGTCAGCAATAGGAGCTCTGGTGTACCGGCTGTGGCCGAGAAACCCTGTCGTTAAGGTGCGTCTGGACTTACAGCCCTTTTTTCTCCTCGCTGCTCTTTAATTTTTGTCAACTTCTTGTCTGCTCCTTGCTGGCACCTCTTGTTTCGTCTGTCATTCCCGTGACGCATGGCCATGATTTTGTCACATATCACGTTAATTAGGGATTTGGGCAGGCGTGGCGTGTGCCTTTGATGCATTACACGGATTAAGAAAATCGTTGTGTCGTTTCCATTGCGTGTGTGTGTGTGTGTGTGTGTGTGTGTGTGTGTGTGTGTGTGTGTGTGTGCGCGCGCGCGCGTGTGTGTGTGTGTGTGTTTGTGTGTGTGTGTGGGTCTGTGTGAGTATGTGTGTGCGTGAGTGTGATTGTGTGCGTGCGTGCGTGCGTGTGTGTGTGTGTGTATGTGTGTGTGTGTGTGTGTGTGTGTGTGTGTGTGTGTGTGCATGGTGTGCGTGTGCATGGGGTGTGAGTGCACGTGTGCGTGTGCATGTGCGCGTGTGAGCGTGTGTGTTTCTTCCCTACCGTAATGCCACATGCCACGTTGAAATGAGCAAAGGTGGAAGAGATGAGCATCACAGGCGTCAGTGTTCATGTCACCACGAAGGTGAGTATATGCCCTCTGCTAGATCTGCCCTTCTCATCATTGCCCTTCCCAAAAGCATTTCTGCTGCCATTCGCCCTGCTCGGCGCCATCCACTTTGTTTCATTTCTTCCTTAGTGTCTCCTACTCCCAGGTGTGCCTATCATCAATTAGAGCATCTTTTCATTTTTCACCCACTCTCTTCCCCCCGTTTCACCCCCTGCTTCCCTCCTGCCCCACCCCTCCTCCTCCCTTTTCCCCCTTCCCTCACCCCTCCCTCCTCCCTCCCTCTCTCCAATCCCCATCCCGCCTCTCCCCCTCCTTTTCCAGCTGGGCCTGCCTGTGCTGTCGCTGGACCTATCGCTGCGTCTGCTCGTGCGAGCACGAAACCCCAACTACATGCCCGTCTCCTACTCCGCTGCCACTGTCGCCATCTACTATGATGGTACCAAGGTAGGAGCAACCAGACCTGCATGCTGCTTGGTGTTGCCGGCAGTGAGCGAGGGGGTTAGGGGTGAGGTGGGGGGGGGGGAGTGAGAGGGCGTGAGCGCAGGCACAATGGGATGGATAAGTAGAGTGACTGGGGCGTGTTGACGCTTTTGTTTTAGCTGACAGGTTGCTGCGGGCCTGTATGGCCTGTCTGTTTCAACGTGAGGTTGATTCATAAGGATGTGTTGCGTTGTCGTGAACGCAGGTGTGAGATGGTGCTACTTTGCTTTTTTTTGTGAAATTGTTATCCATGGTTGGAGTGAGGTAGCAGAGGAGTTGAATGCGGCAAATGAGGTGGGGGGCAGCTGTTTAATCTGTCACTCTTGTGTACTGTTCTGCTGCTGTGTGATGGTGTGCTGCTATGCATGTGATGGTGTGGTGCTATGCATGTGATGGTGTGGCGAGTGCAGATAGGCGAGAGTAACATGGGAGCGGGGCAGTTCATGCCACGGGACAACAAGGTCATGGAGCTATCTGCCACCATGAGTGTAAGTCCTCGCTTTCCCCATTTTCCGCTATGATGGTGGCCCCCCGTCTTCTTTCCCGTACCCCACTCTCCCTTCCCCCCGCCCCGCCCCCCGCCCCTCGCCCCCCGCCCCCGCCCACCTTGCTTCCTTGCGTTCACTCCCCTGCATTGACATTTCTGAATATCTGTCTTAGTTTCCAGCTTAATTCATCTCAGTTTATGCTCAGCCGATTCTCTTCTTCCAGGCCTCAGTGATGATGTTACTTGCATTACCATTTATTTGAATTTTCAGAATAACTCCCACCTGCTTCCCTTCAACCCATCCACCGTACCCTCCCTCCCTCCCTCCCTCCCTCCCTCCCTCCCTCCCTCCCTCCCTCCCTCCCTCCCTCCCTCCCTCCCTCCCTCCCTCCCTCCCTCCCTCCCTCCCTCCCTCCCTCCCTCCCTCTTTCTCCCTAACTCACTATCCCCCCAGGCGCTTGAGCTAGCAGCAGCCAATGCACGGCGCCTGCTGAGCGACATGCTGAATCGCAGTGTCACAGTGGAGGCTGTCACTTCCTTCCCTGCCGTTGCCCACGGCCTCTGTGACACCCTTCACCCCCGCCTTCTGGTCAGTGCTTGCTGCGCATCTTTCCTCGACGTTGCATGGATTGGTTTGGATGCTTCCTGGTCAGTGCATGCCTCGTGGTCAATACCCATGTTGCCTTTTCGTTTCCTAATCCATGTGCGAGGCTGTCTAGCTCATCGTGACAAGTACTGTTTCTCTTGTTGGTTGCCCCCTTGCGTTGTGCAGGTGGAGCTGAGGAACGAGGTGACGTTCGTCCCGCTCACTCTCGGTGTTCAAGAGAGCGATTCTTTTGCTGCTATGCAGTTGCTGCAACCTCTCACTCACCCCACTTGAAAGCTCAGCCTTTTTGTTTTGTTTTGTTTTTTTTTTGTGTGTGTGTGTTTTTTTTTTTCTTATCTACAATTCTAAGCGACCCTTGGTAGATGTGCCAGTGTACACAAAGATCAAACTGGGCTAGTTTATTCGTTTGCGTTGTATCCTTTTGATATTGTATTTTTAGCTGTCACCTGGATTGGGGTATGTGACGGAACACTCGATACGCGCGGGTCAATCTTCCGAACGCGTTATTTTTCTCACTTGACATACAGTCACTCTAATTCCGTTTTTCGCGCCTTCTGTCTCGTCCCCAATGGAGCCCGCGCTTCTTTCCGCCATCTCCGCCATTCACGCCGCGCCAGCGCGCGCAGTGCTTGCCGTCACGGGAGGCGCGTCGCAGGTAGGTCGCTTCATCCCGCGCGCACCACTCTAATGACTCTGGGGGTATCCTCCCCGCGCTACTGCGGTGCCGATTAGTCGCTGACCGCCCACATTCGCGCTTGCGATACCGCCAATGGCGCTTGCCGCTTGTACCGCCGAAGCCGCTTGTCACCTCCGTCAACAAGCAGTCCACCTCCGCAATGTCTCCCCCCCATCCCCCCCCCTTTCTCTCCCTCCCTTCCCCCTCTCTCCCTTCCCCCCTCCCCTTCCGCTCTCCCCCCATCCCCGCTATAAGGCCGTGGGATGGCTAGTTGCGGTTCCCGGCGCGTCGCAGACAGTTCTGGAGGCTGTGCTGCCGTACTCGCAGCGCGCGTTCGACCAATACGTGAACGCCACGTGGCACGCGCAGGCGCAGGTGCAGCTTGCTGTGCAGGAGCGGGGGGAAGACGGGCGGGCGGAGGGGAGTACGGCGGGGGGATGGGGGGCGGAAGGGGAGGAGGGGAGGGATGCGGATGGAACGCGCAAGCAGCAAACGAGACAGGTGGGGTGAGCAGTGGAGGTGAGCAGTGGAGGTGAGCAGTGGAGGTGAGCAGTGGAAGGTGGGAAATGATGCTGGTGGATAGGTGGTTACCGGGTGTTTGTGGAGATAATGCTGGGTGGAGAGGGGTGTTGGGGAAGCTGGCGGTGTATGGGGGGGTTGGAAATGCTGCACACACTGCCACACATGAAGCCCGGTGTGCTAGTAACGTCGTTGTACTCTTAGTCTGTTGTCGCATAGCTTGCACCCACCATGTGCCACAGCACAGCGGTACCCTACCATGTACTCACTACCTGATTGTATGGTGTCTTTGCATTCATGCGTCCACACCACACCACACTCCCTAACGCCGCACAACACGCAGCTCCCTTCCTTCTCCCTCGCCCACCACATGTCTCCACCCCCTCATGTCCACCAGTATGCGAGCAGAGCAGCAGCGCAGCAGCTCGCCTTTGCTTCCTACAATCGAGCCCTCTCGCTCGCTCCCATCGGTATGCCTCTTCAAACATCAGCTCTTTCGCCTGCCCCCATCGCGCTATGCCTGCTTGCTTGCTTGCTCCCCTTTCTATCCGTATCTCTTTGCTGTGCTTGCCTCCCTCCCTCCCTCCCAGTCTCCCTCCCTCCTCCCGTCCCTTCGGCCCAGCCTCCCTCCTCCACTCCCTCCCCAGCCTCCCTCCGCCCCTCCCCTTCTCCCTCCCTCTCTGTCTCTCTCTCTGTCTCATCCGTCGTCCCATCACCCCCCCACCCCCCCAATGGCCCCATCAGCACAGCCGGTGGTGGGGGTGGGCTGCACGTGTGCGCTGGTCTCTGGTGCTCCCAAGAGGGGCGCGCACAGGTGGGTATGGGCGGAATGGGGCGGGGGAGGGGAGGACGGTGGGGAAGTGGGGGCATGGGTAAGGGAGAAGGCACAGGTCGTGCTGCACGTGCGCGCTGGTGTCTGGTGCTCCTAAGAGGGGCGCACACAGGTGGGTATGGGCCACGGGGCGCATGGGAGACAGGGGGCATGGGGCATGGGGGGCATGGGGGGCATGGGGCATGGGGGGCATGGGGGACATGACGTATCCGTTTAACTTTCATGACTTTCTGTCTGTTGGCGATGGAGTGGTGGTTGGAAAGTCACCCTACGGATCTAACTTTTCTCAGCCCGCTGGTTCATTTCACAACACCCTACAGTTACGTCTGAAATCAGCCCACAATGTCATCTCGATTCAGCTACCCAACACTACGTGCATGGCAGGTGTCACATAGCAGCGCGCTCCCAAGGCATGCTGTGGGAGTACTCCCTTCACCTATCCAAGGTAACTCTCGCCCTTTCTCCCTCTTCTGTCTACAAGTTATGAGACACCTCGATATTCAAGGCATGCTGTGAGAACACATACTGAACCTATCCAAAATTATTCTCCCCCTCTTTATGTGATCTGCCTACGCTCCCCTCCCCCTTCCGCTCCTCCCCGCATGGCAACATCACAGGAGGCGCTGCGGTCCCGGCAGCAGGAGGATGACATGGCCAGCCGCCTCTTGATCCGCGTATGTGCTCACATGCGATGTATGAAGTGTGATGTGTGATGTGTGATGTGTGATGTGTGATGTGCAATGTATGATGTGTGATGTGTGATGTGTGATGTGTGATGTGCGATGTATGATGTGTGATGTGTGATGTGTGGTGTGTGGTGTGTGGTGTCTGTCTGTCGTGCTTCTCCTCACCTGCTTTGAGCTGCCTCAAGGAGCGCCACATGCTCACACGCGTTCCATGATCCCCGATGCATCTAGTGCTGCTCAGCTGCACTGTCCTAAAGCACTAGTGTCCCGTCATTTAACTCAGCTTTGAGGTGCTTCAACAAGAGCCACATGCTTACACACGTTCCATGATCCCCGATGCGTCTAGTGCTGCTCAGCTGCACTGTCGCAAAAGTACACTACCACTGTCACATTTTTTAGGCTCCTGAAAAGTACACTGTCCTCAAAAGTACACTGTCCCACCCATGCCGTGTACAGTAAGTTCTCCTCTTCTCCATCTCCCTTATTTCCCCTTCTCTCCCCTCTCTCTTCACTCTCCCCCTCCCCCCTTCCTCACCTTCCCCTCTTCCCCCTCTCCCGCCTCCCCCCCGGTCCCTTTTCAGGTGCTAGCAGCGAGCATGGGGCTACCAGCAGTGGCGGGGGGGTTGGCGGTGGGGGAGGGGCGGGGGGACGAGGTGGAGGAGGCAGCAGCGGTGGTGGGGCGGGGGGAGCAGATACAAGAGGTGCTGGAAGGCCGAGTGCCATACGCTGTCTTTGGTACGACTCCCATCTGCCTTCCTTGTTACAAACGGTCAAGTCTGTTTTTTTTTTTTTTTTTTTTTTTTTTGAGAACCCACCTGTGGGCACCCTGGGTGATGGCCTGCCCCTAGGGGACTGCCTTGACGTCCTGGAGCTCCCTTAGATGGCAGTGGGCAGAAAGCATGTTATGAGGTTAGTAGATCAGTTGGTCAGATAATTTACTGCTGTATTGCTTACCTTTCCACCTTCCTGCACCGTGTATTGCTCGGATTTGATACAAGGACCGTTCAAGAGAAAAAAGAAAACTTTCTTGTTACATGCATCATGTGCTGTTTCCGGTACAAGTGCCTGTCGGACTGCTCTTGGCGTGGGGTTTTTTTTTTGCCGTAGCTTATCAGCAAAATTGCTGAAATACCCATGTTGGTCGGATTGAAGTCTCTCTAACACCCACCCTGCCCACTCCCCTCCACTTCCCCACTTTTCCCCCCACCTCTCCCTCTTTTCCCTCTTTTCCCCCTCTCCTTCTACCCTCTTCCCCTCTTCCCCTCCACTCCTCCGCCTCCCTCTCTCTCCACACTTCAGCCGCCCCTACCTGGGCGAGCAGGTGGGGAGCAGCAGGGGAGGGGCGCAGAGTGATACTGTGCGGTTCATTCAACCCACTGCACCAGGGGCACACTGACTTGATGGCTGCTGCGCTGCTGTGAGTACCCTGCAGTGGTGATTGCTGTGAGTGCCATGGTCTGTTTTGAGGCGCCTCAAAAATACACCGATGATTGCTGTGAGTCCCCTGCACCGATGATTGCTGTGAGTCCCCTGCACCGATGATTGCTGTGAGTGCTGTGGTTGCTGTCCCATCCAATCCCATCCTGTCCCGCCTTGCCCCACCCCGTCCCGTCCATTCAAGTTGATAAGAGTGGTTCAAGTGAAATGTGCAATTCGAGTAAATCGAGTGAAATGAGATGGCAGTATGGAACGATTGGTTCGAAAAAATGCTCCGAGATTGCCATGTTCCGAGATTGCCATGTTCCGAGATTGCCATGCTCTTTGCGCACTATTTGTAAAGAAACTGTCCGTGCCGGGCAAGGCTTAAAAAAGAAGTACCCCCCCCCCCCCCCCCCCCCCCCACTTTTTTTTTTTTGAAAGTTTACCGTAAAAAACGGTTCCAGATGGAGATTTTCAGTTTAAGAAAAAGCGACCATTTTATGGGACAAAATTGATGGCGAATTCGCCAGAATGAAGAGGAGAAACCCCTCCTTGCATGTGTGGGCATGATTGAAAACGCATTCGACCTTGTTTTAGCCTTTTTTTTTTCTTGGTGACAAGAGTTCTCTAACAATTAACGGCCGTAATTGTTAAAAAATGCCGTAAAAAACGGACCGTAATGTATGAAAACCGTATTTTTGAACCTTGGTGCCGAGTGTCCCAGCTGAAGCTTCTACAAATCACCCCATGCACCATGCGTGTGCAGAGAGGTGCCGGGCGGAGTGCCATGCTATGAGATGGCAGCATGGAACGCGGACAAGGGAGCCATTCCAGTGAAGGAGGTGGAGAGGCGAGTCCACCAGTTCACTGCTCATGGTATGTACACACTCACATGCTGCATGTGCTGCACATCATGGTACGAATATTCCTTTCTTTGATGCGCTTAAAAAACACACGCGGTACGTACATACGCAGATGTCTATTTCTGAGGCGCCTCAGTCATCACATACAGCATGCACAATGCAAATTAGGTTCCTCTTTTCCTCTCCCTGCGCCCTCTTTCACCCGTCTCCCTCACCTTGCCTTTCTGATACCCTCGCAGGTCACATGGTGGTGGTAACCCGCCTGCCTCTCTTTGCTAGCAAGGCCTCCCTCTTCCCCCACTCCACCTTTGTCATTGGCTACGACACTGCTGTTCGCTTGCTCGACGTGAGTATTCCTCTAGGTACCCAATGCCCTCAAAACCCACCCACTCTCCCTTCCCGCACTCCACCTCTGTCATTGGATATGGCACAGCAGTTCGCTTGCTTGATGTGAGTTCTGCACTGGTGACAAGGTGCCCTCTATACTAGCTTCTCGCTTCCCCAACTTCCTTCACCCTCCACCCCACCCTTCACGCTTCATCCTTCACCTTCTCCCTTAACTCTCCACACTTCACCCTTCACACTTCTCCCTTCACTCTCCACACTTCACCTTCTCCCTTCACTCTCCACACTTCACCCTCCACACTTCACCCTCCACACTTCACTCTCCACACTTCACTCTCCACACTTCACTCTCCACTCTTCACCCTCCACACTTCACCCTTCTCGCCCTTCGCCCATCACTCTGCTCTCCGCCCTTACCAGCCAAAGTACTATGGCAACAGCCACAGCAGCATGATGGATGTGCTACATGGCATTGCCCACTCTGGCTGTGACTTCCTTGTCGCTGGCAGGCTCGTTGGCTCCTCCTTTCAGGTACGCCAGTGCGCGTACCTAACCACTTCCTCCTTCCAGTTACCTCCTGGAACGCCAGGTGCGCCAGTGCGTGTACCCACATACCTGCCTCCTTCTTCCTGATCTCCTACCCGCTGCCATGCTTCCCCAGTTGCTGCTGTCTCATTGGTTCCACATTTTAAGTACTCCGGAAGAGTCCTCCTTTGAGTCGACTAGCAGTCGTCTCATTGGTTCCGCGTTTATGGCGCTCATGAAGAGTTGACGCCTTGGGAGAAGCAATCATGAGTCGCTGAGGGCCATGGTCCGCGGAGGCATTCCCATGTTTGAGGCACAAAAGAATATACCCTCCCCTCCCTCCCTCCGCGCCCTACCTCCTCCCTTCGCCAGTCGTCTGAGAGTCTGGTGGTGCCCGAGTCGCTGAGGGCCATGTTCCGAGGCATTCCCGAGGCGAGCTTCCGAGCAGACATTTCCTCAACTGAAATCCGTGCTCAACTCGCCGCACAGCAGCTGCTGCTGCTGCTGCTGCTGCCACCACTGCTGCTGGTGACGGTGATGGTGATGGTGCTGGTGCTGGTGCTGGTGCTGGTGCTGGTGCTGGTGCTGGTGCTGGTGCTGGTGCTGGTGCTGGTGCTGGTGCTGGTGCTGGTGCTGGTGCTTCTTGAAGCTGTAGTAATGGCTTTGTGGTAGGGATGGATGCTGGTCGTACTAGTTGTTGCCGAGGCGAGCTTCCGAGCAGACATCTCCTCCACTGAAGTCCGTGCTCAACTTGCCGCACAGCAGGCTGCTGCTGCTGATGCTGCCGCTGCTGCTACTGGTGTTGATGCAGGTGCTTCTTGAAGCTGCTGGCATTGATGGCTGCTGGCAGGGATGGTGCCGCTGGTCTTGCTGGTGCCGCTGGTCTTGCTGGTGCTGGCGGTGCTGCGGTTGGTGGTGCTGGTGGTGAGGATGCCTGCTGTTCATACTGGTTGTCGCTGATGGTGTTGCATTTATACAGTAGTCGACGCAATAGGCAGACCGTACGTACAAACAATACAGTGTTGCTACGTTGTTTATGAGACACGAAGCAGCATGACTAGGTACTGTGAGAATAATAGTTTGAAATGAAGTTGATGGATTGATTGAAAAGGATGGGGGGTTTACATAGGAGATGGGTTGGAAACTAGCCTAGGTGAACATTATTGGACCCCAACCAAGGAGTTGGGTTGGGAGATTATTGGTGGGGTCCAATAATGTTGGCCAAGTTGGAGTTGGGCCAACATTATTGGAGGGGACCAATAATTCTACCCATCCCAACCCTTGGGGTCCAATAATTGGACCAAGGTTGGGTTTCCAACCTACAAATTGGGTAACCCCAGCATGTACACCCAAACTAAGTTTGGGTGCTTATCTCTAGCCTATCCTATAGCATATATGCAGGTTACAAGAGAGGAGATATTCTAACACAACCCCTTAACCTGCAGAGATGCGGAAAGGCTTGAGTGAAGCAACCCCTGAATCAAGGCGCGCCTGGGGGAGCGAGGCCAATGAGGCGGAGGAGAGCAGAGTGCGCGGGGCGAAGAAGTGCTTTGGTGAAGATATCCGCCAAATTGGCTTCAGTGGCGATCTTGCGAACGGCGATAAGATTCTGTTGGACGAGTTCGCGGATGAAGAAATAACGGAGCTCGATGTGCTTGGAGCGACCATGAAAGACTGGATCCTGGGTGAGATGGATGGTGCTGGCGTTGTCACACCAGAGCGTGGGACAGCGCTGGGGGGCACCAAGCTCTGCCAGAAGAAAGCAGAGCCAGCGGGACTCTTGAGCGGCCATGGTGCCCGCATAGAGCTCAGCTTCGCAGGAAGAGAGAGCGATGGCTGAGGAGCGGGTGGAACGCCAGCTGATAAGTCCGCTGCCGAGGGTAAAGCCATAGCCTTGGGAGGAGCGGCGGTCTGGCTGATTGTCTGCCCAGGAGGAGTCACTGAAGCCCGAGAGAAGGGGAGGGGAGGATCCACCCAGTGTGAGAGCGTGATCCTTGGTGCCGCAGAGATAGCGGAGGACCCGCTTGGCGGCAGCCCAGTGTTCCTCAGTGTGACGGCCAGAGCCGACGAACCGAGCAAGGACGCTGACGGGGTAGGCGAGGTCGGGGCGGGTGCACATCATCGCGTACATCAGCGACCCAACGAGCTCGGCGTAGGGCCGGGAGGAGGAGGAGGGGGAGGTGGGTGGCGCAAGTTGGTGACCGAAGGGGAGGGGGGTGGAGACTGGTTTGGCCTGCGCCATCTCAAACTTCTCCAGGACCTGGCCGATGTAGTGGGACTGGGAGAGAGTGATGGTGCGGGCGGATCGATCACGGGTGATAGCCATGCCGAGGTAGTTCTGGAGGGGACCAAGGTCCTTGCACTTGAGTCGTTCCTGAAGTGACCGCTTCATCTGGTCCATGTCGGCCCTGGAGTCCGCCAGCAGGATCATGTCGTCAACGTAGACCGAGATGAAAAAGCGACTGGGGGAAGAGCGGATGAAGAGGCTGGCGTCGGAGTGGGAGGGGGAGAAGCCAAGGGACTGGAGAGTAGCAGACAGCTTCGCATGCCATTCTCGTGGTGCCTGCTTCAGGCCGTAGACCGGTCGCTTCAGCTGCCAGACGGTGTTGTCGGGGAACGTAGCATGGAACCCGGGAGGTCGGCGGAGAAAGATGCGTTCGTGCAGTTCACCTTGCAGGAAAGCGTTGGAGACGTCCATGGAGTCAATCTCCATGTCGTCTCTTGCACCGATGTCAAGAAGGGTGCGTAGGGTGGCCTGCTTGACGGTGGGGGCGAACGTGAACCAGTAGTCCTCAGCCCAGGTCTGGGTGAACCCCTTGGCAACATAGCGGGCTTTGTAGACTGGTTCTTCTCCCGGCAGCTGCTTGACTCGAAAGATCCACTTGCCCTCAACCAGGTTGGCGTCAGGAGGGAGGGGAACGTCAATGAAGGAGTTATTGTGGATGAATGCTTCACATTCCTGGAAGATGGCGGCTATCCACTTATCGGCGTCAGGGCAGGTGATAGCCTCTTGGAAGGTGGAGGGGACGAAGATGGTGGGAGCGGAGATCGCGCTAAGGAGTAGGGCGCCGAGGAGGTCTGGGGAAGGTACTGTGAGAGAGGGAGTGTGGCGCCGGACCATGGTGAACTCCTCATGGGAGTCCTCCAGTTGGTTGAGGGAGGGAGGAGACGGTGCACCAAGGATGGGGTCAAGGGAGCGGGTGTGCATGCGAGGGAGGAGGAAGGGTGAGGAGCGGGCAATTGCCCTATGCCGCTGCTGCTGCTGGTGCTGCTGGAACCCCTGCTGCTGCTGCGGCTGCTGCCCCTGCTGCTGCTGCTGCGGCTGCTGTTGCTGTTGTGGCTGCTGCGGCTGCTGCTGCTGCCGCTGCTGGTGCTGCCCTTGCTGCTGCTGCGGCTGCTGCTGCTGTTGCTGCTGCTGCTGCTGCGGCTGCTGCTGCTGCTGCTGCTGCTGCTGCTGCTGCTGCTGCTGCTGCTGCTGCTGCTGCTGCTGCTGCTGCTGCTGCTGTTGCTGCTGTTGCTGCTGCTGCTGCAGCTGCTGCTGCTGCCGCTGCTGCTGCTGCTGTTGTTGTTGCTGCTGCTGTGATGGATGAGGAGGGGAGTGGGAAGGGGAGGAGGGAGGGGGAGCCGTGGAGTGTGCGGGGGAGGCAGGAGCAGTGGGATCGTAGACGTCGGCGGATGAAGGTGGCGGAAGCGGGGTGGGGAGGGGTGGGAGAAGGGGTGCCGGAGGGAGGAGGGGAGGGAGGACGGTGTCGGCCCAAGCGAGAGGACGTGTGGGAGGAGGGAGGGGGTCCGGTGGTGGAGAGGAGTAGTACGGGGTGGTCTCATCGAACACAACGTCAATGCTGCGGATGAGGCGACCAGAGGGAGGGTGAAGGAAGAGGTAACCAGGCGAGTCGCGGTTGTGTCCGAGGTAGACACACTCGAGGGCGCGAGGAGCGAGCTTGCCTTGGGTGCGGTCGGGTGGAGGAATAAGCACATATGCCTTGCAACCCCAGACACGGAGACCGGCAGCGTCAGGTTTGGTTCCTGACCAGAGCTCCGTGGGGGTAGCGGCAGTGTGTTGGGGATGGGAGTGAAGGTTGAGGAGGAGGGCAGCATGGAGGAGGGCATAGCCCCAGAGAGAGGGAGGGGTGGAGGCGTGAGCAAGGAGACAGCGGGCGATCTTAGTGATTTCGCGAATGCGGCTTTCTGCAACGCCGTTCTGCTGTGGGGAGTGGGGAAGAGTGTGGGTCTGTTGGATGCCATGGGTGGTGCAGTAGTGAGAGAGAGTGCGGTTGAGGAATTCGCCTCCCCCATCAGAGTGGAGGCGGCCGATGGGACGTTTGAAGTGGGTGCGGCATTGCTCTGCCCAGTTAATGATAATGGTCGGCGCCTGGTCTTTGGTGTGGAGGAGGAAAATGGAGGAGTAGCGGCTGTGATCGTCAACAAGAACCAACATGTAGCGATGGCCTTGGCGTGAGCGGGTGGGAGAGGGCCCCCAGAGGTCCATATGGACAAGGTCAATGGGTGCAGGAGCAAAGGATGGGTGGCTGTGGTGAGGAGATTGTTTGAGTTTGCCGTGGATGCAGGAGGGGCATGGGGGGGCTGGGGAGGAGGGAAGGGGAGGAAGAGTTGGAGGGAGGCTGTGAAGAAGTCGTGAGGTGACGGCAGTGCGGAGAGCGGCAAAATTCGGATGGCCGAGTCGGTGATGTAGGAGAACAGCGGGGTGGGAGAGATGGTCGGAGGTGGAGGGGATTGGAATGAGTGAGGAAGGGATGGAGGAGTGGGGAGGAGACGGAGTGGGAGGAGAGGGAGGGAGATGGGGAGGGCTGGTGGAGGTACCCGCACGAGTGGTAACATGGCAGGAGGATGGCCACGGAGTGCGGAGAGTGTAGAGGCGAGTGCGAGGGCAGAGGGGTATGCGGAGGAGGAAGCGGCCGGAGGCAGTGTGGTAAAGGTCACAGTAGGTGGCATTACCAGGATAGACGGCAGTGATACCTGCACCTTGGATTTCACGGTGGGAGAGGAGGTTGTTTCGGAGAGTGGGGATGTGGAGACCAGTTACCTTGCCAGAGGGGAAGAGTGAACAGGGGAGAGTGGAGAGGTGTGTGCATGGGATGGTGAAGCTGCTGTCAGCACCGTGAACTTGAGTGGGAGGGGAGAGGGGTGTGAGTGTACCAGCGTCTTTGAGGGCGGTCTCAGTGGCCCCACTGTCAAGGACAAAGTCCAGAGTGGGTGAGGAGGAGGAGGAAGACACTGAGTAAGTGGTTTCATTAATGTTGGATGGGTACATGGAAGGAAGAGAGGGCGAAATAGCTATGTTGCCAAGGAAGCTCTCGTGAGTGAGAGGGGTGGCAGTGCTACTGGGGGGGGGTGGGGCACCCCAAAGGGGGGCAGGTGAGGCTTGAGCGGCCATGGCTGCTGTGCCAAAGTTCAACTGCTGCTGCGGCCAGGGAGGAGGGCTGGGTCCCCACTGTGGCTGGGGTCCTGACCCCCATGGGTGCTGCGGCGGCTGTGGCTGCTGCTGCTGCTGCGGCTGAGGCTGAAACAGCTGCTGTAACTGCTGCTGCTGCTGCTGCTGCTGCTGCTGCTGCTGGAGGTGCTGCTGCTGGAGGTTGAGGAAGGGTGTGGGGGGAGCAAGGAGGCGGAGGTGGGCTGGGAGGTAGGC